TGACCTTTTCTTTTCTTCCTAGAGAAGTACCTTTAGCTTTTGTTGTAAAGCTGGTTTTCTGGTGCTGAATTCTTTAGCTTCTGCTTGTCTGTAAAGCTTTTGATTTCTCCATCAAATTTAAATAAGAATCTTGCTGGCTAGAGAATTTTTGGTTGTAAGTTTTTTCCCTTTCATCACTTTAAATATATTGTGCCACTCCCTTCTGGCCTGCAGTTTCTGCTGAAAAATCAGCTTATAGTCTCATGGGAGTTCCCTTGTATATTAGTTGTTGCTTTTTCCTTATTGCTTTTAATAGTCTCTCTTTATCTTTAATTTTTGTCATTTTTATTATAATATGTCTAGGTATGTTCCTATTAGGGTTAATCCTGTATGGAACTCTGTGCTTCCTGGACTTGAATAACTATTGCCTTTCTCAAATTAAAGGAGTTTTCAGCTATTAGCTCTTCAAATGTTTTCTCAGGCCCTTTCTCTCTCTCTTCTCCTTCTGGGATCCCTATAATGTGAATATTAGTGTGCTTGATGTGGTCCCAGAGGTCTCTTAAACTGTCATCTTTCTTTTTTTCATTCTTTTTTCTTTTTTTTTCTTCTATAGTGATTTCCCCTGATCAGTCTTCCAGCTCACTGATTCATTCTGCCTCATTTAGTCTACTATTGATTCCTTCTAGTGTATTTTTCATTTTACTTACTGTATTCTTCAACTCCGATTGGTTTTTCTTTATGTTTTCTAACTCTTTGTTAGAAATTTCTACCTTCTTGCTCCATGCATACATTCTCCTTTCAAGTCATCTGATCATCTTTGGGATCATTCCTCTAAACCCTTTCTTGTGTGGATTGCCTATCTCCATGTCACTTAGTTCTTCTGGGATTTTATCTTGTTCCTTTGTCTGGAACATATTCCTCTGCTGCCTCATTTTGTCTAAATTTCTATTTGTATTTTTATGTATGTGGTAGGTTAGTTAAACTTCTCAACCTTGGAGAAGTGGCCCTCTGTAGGAGACATCCTAAGCGTCCCAGCAGTGCACTCCCGTCTCATCACCATAGGGCCAGGGGCCATCTGCCCCAGAGTTGGGTCTGGCCTGCATTTGTGGACTCATTCCACAGGCTGCAGGATCATAGTTTTCTTGCTTCTTGTATCTGTCCCTGGTGGGTGAGGCTGATCTAGAGGCTTGTGCAGGATTCCAGGCAGGACCTGCCCACTGGTGGTTGGAGCTGGATCTTGGCCCTCTGGTGATCAGGGGCATATCTAGAGATAGCTGTGGGCTCAGGAAGTTTTAGGCAGCCTGTCTGCTGATGAGTGGGGACATAGTTGTTTGGCCTGAGGCATCCCGGCACTGGGACCTATATATAGGCTGTTGAGTGGGGCAGGTCTTGGTGCTAATGACCCAAGCAAGAGTTCAGTCTCCAGGAGAGTTCCTGCAGATAAATACTCCTTAGTGTGTCCACCACCATTTCTGTGTCCCCTGGATGTGCCACAGCTGTCCCCTGCCTCCCTTCAAGACCAGCAAGTAGATCTGGCCCAGGATCCTATGAAATTACTGCTTTTGCCCTTGAACCCAGTGAGTGTGAGATTTTGTGTGTGTCCTTTAAGAGTGAAGAGTCTATTTCCCCTAGTCCTGTGGTGCTCCTGCATTTAAGCCCAACTGACTTTCAAATCTAAATACTTTACGGGCTCCTCTTCCATATGCTGGACCCCTAAGCTGGGGAGCCTGAGGTGGGGCTCAGAACTGTCACTCCTGTGGGAGAACCTCTGCAATATAGTTTTTCTCCAGTTTGTGGGTTGCCCCCCCAGGGGGTGTGGGATTTGATTATATTGTGAATCTGCCCCTACTGCCTGTCTTAATGTGGTTTATTCTTTATGTCTTTAGCTACGGAAGAGCTTTTCTGGTAGGTTCTAGTCTTTTTTGTTATGCAGTTAGTTGTGATTTTGGTGTGTTCATGAGAGGAGGTGAGCTCCGACTCCTTCTACTCCAGCATCTTCTGCACAGACCTCAACTATGACGCTGCCTTCTTCTTATCTACAAATCCAGCCTGGCACTCAAGGCCTTCCCAGCATTCTTCTAGTCACTTTTGAACTCTACCTGGTATCTCTTCCAGCTAAGCTGAACTATTTACTATCTTCTGCTTTCCCATTTCTGTTCCAGCTGTTTATACAGCCTGGAGGGCCCACCTGCTCACATTTCTTTCCTTACCATTCTTACCCCATCTCTGTCTTCTCATATCCCAGCCATCCACTGGGGTCTGTTTCAGTTGCCTCATTTTAAGTTTCTCTGTTCGTTTCAGCAAAATGGGTTCTCTTCCTTTTCTGAACCTTCCTGGTGCTTTGTTTGTGTTTCTATCTTCTATCCTATAACGGTCTGTCTGGTATTGTTACTTTGCTGTTTATGGGTCTTTGTGGCTCCCCTACCCCACCGCCTAGGCTTTGAGCTTCCTGACAGTGGGACTTTTGTCCTAGACACTTTTATATCTCACTCAGTATATAAGTGCTTTCCTGAGTAAATATATTCAGTTAATGTGAAAGATGCAATATAGGGAAGGATTCCAAATCTTATACCCTCTTGAGTTTTCTTTACACATATCTCACATTTGATGGTCTTGCTATAATGTGGTACAGGCCTTCCCAGTTTATATTCTACTGGTTCTTAAAAGAAGAAGAGGAAGAAGGAGGAGGAGGAGGATCATGAGGTCAAGTGGATTTGGGAAACTTGCCTACCATACCCCTTCTTGAGGACCTGCAACCCATAGGACATATGACCAGTAGAGGACCCTGTTTTAACTTCATTAAATGCTTGTCTACTAATTTGTTTGGCCTCAGAACCAAGTTCCCCCTCTGCTTATGTACTCACATCCTACACTATACTTCTGTGGGAAATTCTTAGTGATGTAGACCATGCTGTGCTACAGACAAGGGGTTGAGACAATGGCCTCCACAATACGAGAACTGGGTATTGAACCCTAGCGAGGCATACCTTGGTTCTGAACAGCGAGCAAGGAAACCATCCAGACACCTTCTTGTGCCTGGCTGAGTGAGGTCACGTCATCTGCCAGATGCTTGGATGGCTTGTGGAAGGAGGCTGATTCTTCATGAGAACATAATCAGAACAGATCTGAGATTATGTTAAATGAGTTTTAGGCAAGGCACCTGGATTTCTCAAAAGGCACAGTTAACGAGCATTATTCTCTACAAGAAAAGTGAAAGGAATTTAGTAACCAAATGAAAGAGATCCCCAAATTCTCCTGAAAGCAGCACCTCTTCCGCAAAGACGTGTCGTTCAGGGACTGGCCGGCTTGCTGCCCTCCCCCAGCCCCCCATGGTGCTCACCACTGGGCAGGTAGTTCGGAGAGGAGCACAGGCTGCCAGAGTGTTTGGGAGGCAGTAGGATCCCAGAGCAATTCACAGCCATACAACGAACCTGACTTTGATTGTTGTTGCCTTTTCCACTTAAAGTTCTCTACCCAGCTTGGCAAGCAGGTAGAGAAGCTGTCACAAGTTGTTAGCTCTTCTGCCCACTTGCTACCCATCTGTCAGTCCCTTTGATGGCACTGGTCATCTACGTGGGCAGCCCTCAGATCCTGAAGTCTTGTCAGAAGGCCGTGAACTGTGGGCAGCTGTCAGAGGAGTGAAGGGCCTGTCAGCAGACACTCCCCCCTCTTTTCCACCAGAGCTGGGGGCGGGGGCTGGAACACAGGTTTGTTCATCGACGGATGTTTCCTGTAAACATAAATATGAAGTTGTAGCCTTCGGAGATTTTTTTAGAATGCGAAGACTTAAGATGCAAGCACAAGTTGGAGAGGTTTGTTTTACAGTCTCCAACAGGATCTCTCCTGACATGTGTGCCTTTCTGGTTTATTTACAGTTCCTCAGCACTTTGTTTGCCCCCTTAAACTTTGTCATGGAGAAAGTTGAAAGCATACTCCCATCCAGTCTGTGGCACCAGCTGACGCGGATCTAGGGAAGCCCACCCATCCTTCCACTCACCTCACCCAGTGGGCTGCCACCATCTCTTCGTGCCAACTCCTCGTGGACCGCAAGAAAGCATGACTTTGAAAAAGGGAAGCCATTCCGGGGTTTTAAAACATTCACGGACTATCTGTTCTACATTAAAATCTGTTTTTGTTGTGCAAAATTCATTGATGTTTGGTTCTATTATATTTTGCCTTCAGAAAAGAAAAAAAAAGTCAAAAATAAACTTTTGTGTATTGCAGCAACCTGTTGTGTCTTTCTGTGTCTTCCAACCCTAAAAATGTTGGTGTCTAAATAAACCTATGGGTTACACTTAACTTACCAAGACCCGAAGTCTGCTGAGTGCCACACACACGGTGGTTTCTGTGCTGTGGGAACTCATTCCCATCAGCAGGCCCTTGGCACCCTTGCAGTTGGCAGCTTGAGAAATGAACTCTCTTTGGCTAAAAAGTACCATCTTTTTCACCCCCATGCTATGTGTCCTCATAGGCCAGATGCACAAAAGACATTTCCAAAATGATGACAGGAAGCATGAATGAAAGGAAACCTATGAGCCATCACTGGTTGTTCCCGTTCAGAGACTACTCACTGAATAGACCTCAGCGCTGCTGTTCTCGGAATCCTTTTGGTTCTGCTTTTTGCAAATTTGTTGTGGGAAGGAATCTTCTGATGAGAAGCTACAGACCCAACGGTCTGTTGCAGAACCTGGCCACTTCGCAGCACGGCCATTTTTAAAATGTTTTCTCAGAAGGGTAATTTTTTTTTATCATGTTTGCATTCTTGATGCTTGAATGTGAGCGTTCTTTGAGTGTTTTAGTGATCTGAACCAAAACGGTCATTTGTCTTCACCATCTTTGAAAGCCTTCTACATGAGTCACACCTGCCAAGCATCTGGCTTTACTTAAGCAAAAGAGAAAAATAAATAACCTTGAATCTTCTATCTGAACTTGAAAAGCACCTCTATTCAAAATCTCAATCTAGTTCTTCAAAAAAAAAAAATGGACTGTCCTTTACAGAGTTTGTTTTCCCTTTTATCTAGAATCCGGAATCTGTCCCCACGAGCGTTAAAATAGGCAGTGTGAGGGGATAGCACCACGCCAAATCTCCGTCACAGCTGGACTTCTGCCGGCTCCTGGTCTTCATCCAAGAGCAAAGTCAAGTAGGCAGGTAACGTTTAGGTGCACAAGGACTCTTCATGCTTTTTGTAGGCTTTTCTCTCTCCCTCCCTTGTGCAGAGCCCACGTGGGGATGCACAGCTGGCCCCTGCTCTATCTCGGAAGAGGCTGGACCCCTATATCCACATCAGTGGGGCTGCTCTTGGGGGTAGGGGCTGTGTCTGTCTTGTTTGCCTCTTTTCTTCTTCTTCCTCCAACACAACTCTTGACCTCTAGTGGATGCTCAAATGATCTGTTGAACAAATGGATGCAATACATGATAAGTACAAATAAAATTTTATTCATGTTTAGAGAAGAGAGATTGGTTCCAGCAGAGAAGTGTCAGGGAAGCCTTAGAATTGTAATTTGGAAGGAAAAAGTAGTAATTATCTAATGCAATCATTTGATGTAACAGATGGGAAAACCAAAGTCCAAAGAGATTTTGACCTGTCCAAGTTGGGACTAGATTGTGATAAGCCTTAAATGAAAGGTTCTAGAGCTTGCAGGCCATGGCAAGTAGAAGTGGCCTAAAACGAGTTGTTGTTAGAAACCCCAGTTGCAGGAAGTGCAGCAAAGAAATGCAGTACAAAGATTTAAAAGTACCTTGTGAATTTAATAATTATGAATTTAGAGCAGTTCCATAGAGAGAGGAGGCAGAAGTTAGAATCTGAGGGGTAAAGGGGAGAGGTGAAGGTGGAGAAGAATGGGGACAGAATGAAGACACACGGAGGGGTAACCGGGATTTTTGGGGGGAGTGAGTCCACAGTCCAGGAGAGGAGCTACTCACCGGGGAGGAGGGAGACATCACATTTCTCGCCCCAGGTCCACAGTTCCTGACTTCTTAATAAGATGGCAACTGGAATCCAAGTTGAATTTCTGCCTTCTGCTTTTGTTTGTATATGAAGAGACATCAAAATCCATTCTGATGGGCTTTCCTCTATAAAGACCCTTCCTCCCAGCAGGACAGTAAATGTCCTATAGCCTCAACTTATATGTTTGTTGGAATACAATTGCAAACATTCTAAAATAAACGTTAGCAAATTGAATTTAGCAATGCATACAGGAAACAATGCAATGTGACCAAATGGGAAGGTTTTTTTTTAAGCTTTGTTTGATACTTAAGTATGAAAGTCATTCTGTCTTTATAAAAAGAATTGCAGAGCATTCCATATTTTTATATGGAATAATTAAACATTGACATTACCTGCTCTTCAAGGATTAGCTAAAACTCAGACATGGAACACCTAATTTTAGTGCTTTATTAATGGTAGCCCTTTGATCACATTTTTACTATCAGCAATGGTGATTGGTCTGTGCAGATATTCACCTTCTTATGTCTAGTTGATTGCATATTTTTCTAGGAAATAACTGCTTTCTCTAAGCATTCAAATGTGTTACCACAAAGTTACACGGATATATCATTTATGTTGTATATTTAACCCCTTCTGTATTTGTGGTAATTACTTTTTTCTCATTCTTAATTCTGTATATTTTTGCTGTCTTTCTCTCTTTTTTCCCATTTAACTAGCTTCATAAAGCTTATCTAGTTTATTCCTTCAAAGAAACAACTTTGGATTTACTGATGCATTCAACCATACTTTTGCTTTGTATTTTATTATTTCTTCCTGGTTTCTCTTGTTTATAAGAATTATAATTTTCCTAATTTCCTTAGATGAGTACTTGGTTCGTTTTTTTTTAAGAAGGAGGTATTGAAGGCTGTATATTTTTCTCTAAGTGTAATCTCAGTGGTTCCATAGATTTTGCTATAAAGTGTTCTCCATTCTTTTATAAAAATTTATGTTTTGGTTTCTTTTTATCCAGGATTGATCACTTCTGGGGCATCCTTATAATTACTATTACTAACTTCAAGGAATTTATTTTTAATCTTACGCTGCAGTATCTAATGAAAACGATGTTCAGCTACCTGCTCCCAAATACAGTAAATCCTGACACCTCACACACACAGACTGCCTCTAAGTAAATTTTCAGTCCTTGTTTCCATCGTTAAAAAAAAATTTGGTTCTTGTTTCCATCATTAAAAAAAATTACGTCTTACTTCAATGTGAACCTTTAGAGGCGACGTTAAAATGTTTAAACCCTGTTCATATCCCTTCCGCTGTTCCTATTCTTGTCCCTGCCCCAAGGCCATGCACTTCACAGACTTGCATGCTGAGTCACCAGGGAAGTGAGTAGGCAGCGGCGGTACCCACCCCCACCCCCCACCCCAGCAAGTGCTGAAAATGAGGGGGATGGGAGCCTCCAAGACGTTCACATCATGTATTTGGCTTCTACTCTACTGTAGTGACAGCTTGGGCTGTATCAGGACATTGAAATGGGAAAGGAGGGGTTGGGGGCTAGACAGGGCTTGAAGGAACTAGTCTTGAAGTTCTGGCTTTTGAGGGTCAAGAATGGCTGAGGCCTGGCAGGCACTGGCTGAAATAGGAATGTCCAGGCCCAGGTGGATCGCTCTCCATCAGGAGTGCGCTGGAGAGCGCAAGGGATGAAGGACCTGCTGGTGATCCTGTGTCCCCTTCCAAGTTGTATCTGTGACTCTCCAGCAGGAGCAAAGGGCAAAAAGGAAGCAGTTTCTCTTCCCCTCTTTCTGCAGCTTGTCTCCTGTTATGTCCAGCTGCAGTCCATTTCACAGCCCCTCGGATCCTCGGCCTTGAAGCATGTGACCGACCCATCTTAGGAAGAAAAACTTTGGAATTGAAAACCGCCGTTGACCACTATCAAAAGGCAAGCTAACTTCAGGTGGGTGTGTGTTTGTCCAGGGATGGGGCAGTAGATTATAATTTTAAGGAGTATGTAAGTAATATCATTTAAAAATTTTTTTAATCATCTACTTCCTGCTCTGAGCGCCCCCACCACAAAACCTGGATTCCATTGGCCCATGTCTTGGTTGCCTCTGACAGCATTGCTGTCCAAGCCCACAGTGTCCCTGAAGTCTGGTGACGCTCTTACACACGGGCTGTAGGACGTGAGCTCCACCTCAGGCTCCCCATGGGGCCTCCCTTCCGCCTCTCCCAGGTCTGGGTGCTGCTCGGGGGCCCACAGGCCCCCTCTCCATGCCTCTCAGCATCTCCACTGCCCTCAGGACACCCAGAACTCTGCTTTTGAGCATGCCCTTCCAAACACAGGGTACTTTCAGCTGCTTCTCTGATCGTTTTCTGGATCAAAGAGCTCCAAAATCTAGACTCCTGCTTTAAAATGACAGGAGGGAAAATGCAGGAAGAAAATATGAATTAACAGCTCAAAGATAGTTTGCCCCTCAAATCAAAGATAACCTCCTTCACATCCAGGATAGATCAGATTCTTTGTTCTCTCATTCCTTTTAAGTAATCAAAAGGTATTGAGGACCTACTGTGTGCTGGGGATATCATGCTCTCCCCACTGCACCTGGAATTGCAGCATTTATCACACTGCTTTACTTGTATGTTTACTTGCCTGTCTCACCCACTGGACCACAGGGAATTCAAGTTCCACATTATGCTATTCAACTTCACACCCTCAGAATCTGGAACTGGATATTCTATATTCTAGAACTTGAAAGCTCATTAAATGTTGGCAGGAAGGTGGAACAGACAGGGTAGAGTACAGGATGATGCTAAACCAGAAGTGAGCATCATTTTATAGAAGTCCAGGGAAAAGATTATTAAAATGAAATAAAATGTACTTATTCCACTCTTGGAACAACAGCTTAATGAGGAGCTTTTATGAAAACTTTGCCCCATTATCATTTTCTTTGGGACATAGTATTTCTTCTTACCCCATTTTCCCCGAATGATGATTGTTCGAGTTTATTGTGCATCAGATGCCATGCCAGGACCACTCTCAGTCTCCAAAGCACTCTGAAGTGGGCGCTGACAGCCCCTGCACTGAGCAGCTGCCAAGTCACAGAGTTGGGCTCGACCCGAGCACATGCTGTGTGGCCACAGGGAGCTTGTTTTCCCGCATCAAACCCTACCTACTGGGTCTCTCCAGCGGGAGGCCAAGTACTCACCAGCTGACCGCCTGTGGAAAAGTGCATGGGGAACACTGCCTCTCAGACACCCCAGAAAGAGGCAGAGCCTGGGCAGATCTCCAAAGACAAGGCGGGCTCATGGTTTCCTTCACATTCCAGCCATATGTGTTATGATGGGAGACCGGGAATGAGTGTTTCTAGGGAAGATGATATGAGCATAAAAACCAGTGGAATGCTGCACGTGGACTTGAAACAGGAAGAGGAAGCCTGTAAGGAGCACAGACCACTATTTCCCACAGTGGGTTCTGAGAAGCGTTATTTGGGTGAAATGATTTTTTGGAATACATCGTTTGCCGTTCTCTTGGAAATTCTAACTGTCAGAAGCCCTGAGAAGTCCCATAAAACGAATTCTGTATAACCCAGCCCATCTCCTCGTGAGATCATAAGACACCCTCCTCTTGTGTAAAGACTCCTTATGACATCTCAGAATATTCATTTTGGAAAACACTGGACAAGCTCAATACTAAATGAAAAGGAAGATCCCATGAACAAGATTTGTGGTTGACTGGGTGTCCCACCCGTCCTGACCAGGTGGGGCCTGCCAGGGAGAATTCGGGGGGACCCAGGCTGCGTGCCGCCGGGAACCACTGCTGTGCTCCCTAACTGGGCATCTGGTGCTCCGTGTCCTCTCCTGAGTCCCCTGGTGCTGGCCATGAAGGTCCTCCATGAACCCCCAGGAGGGTCCTAGGGCCTCTTAACTGTCTATCAATACCAACAGAGTTGAACAAAGGGGAAAAATGAAGGATTGGGGCAGCTGTCATAATTCAAAGGTCCTGTTTTCCTCCGGCAATCCAGGAAAGCCCAGTGACGGTACCTGAGAGAGCCCGTTAAGAGCTGTTGTTTGGGCCGTGGTGACCAGTAAGTAGCTAGCACTCTCCTGGGGTCCCCACCAAGAATGGTTTTTCACCAGCCCCAAGGCCTTGTGTCTTATATCTAACAAATTTTATTTTACATTATTTTTTTAAAAGCTAGTTAGTGACAACTGAGATCGTCCCTCTGCAATTAGAATCTGATGTCAGAGTGAGAAAATCCCCTGTTCACTGGGAACTCCCATGTCACTCATTCTGTATTAATGATATTTATTCTCCCTTGTTGTTTTATTCCTAAAAAATGGCTCCCCTGGTTGCAGTGTTATGTTAAGCATATTACACATACTCCAAAATCAGTTCGTATATTACAGCTTGTTACACTCCTGGGTACACGTTTCTGAATAGCTCTCGCTCCAGTTACAGCTCCACGTTACACATGGGCTGCCACGCGTGGGGCCTGGGAACCCTGTCTGTTTATTCCCGGCTCCTTGTTTTTCCTGGGAGTTTTCTTCTTCTGTTTTATACTCCTCAGGGAAGATGTGCCTTCCAGTAAGAAACGCATACGTGGGGAAGGTGGAACGTATTTTTCTCTAGAGTCTTCTGGAGGGGAGGCTAGAAGGTGGCAGCTGTCTGGGACAGAGACTTGGGCCTTCCGTGGAGGCCAGCGACAGTTTGGAACGTGAGAAGCTGCGCTGATTAGGGGAGGCAGGAGGTGGTTGTGCCCGAATCCAACGAGACCATTGAAAAAAAGCCACAGTATCTTTCCTTCCGTAACGTTAACATCAGAATGACTTTTTGTTCTCTACACCCATCAAGATTTTGTCTTCTCTGGCTTGCATACATCTGTGTTTCAGCGTCTTTAAAAAAATTTTTTTCAGGATTTCACAGGATGTAATCTTTTTAATCACTTCAATAAATCCACAGTGACAACTTATTTTTACTTCTGGCTCACTTAGGATCCAAGCACAAAGTTCTGATGAGCCACCAGCTTCTTTCTTTGTCCCATTCATACATTTACTCAACATACATTATGCACTGAGTTCCAACAATGAACAAGAAAAACTCCCTTGTGCTCACGTCTATGGCCTATGGCGGGGGCCGCAGTCCTCTGGGGAAAAAGTCCTCACGTGCAATCTCTGGGCTGGAGTTCTCACAGGGCGCCAGGCAACACCAGTAATTCTCCCCTCGGGTGTGGCTCTTCTGAGTAATAAACACCACTGGGCAGCCAGCATGTCACGCCCAAGGGGGCTTCTGAGACTATTCTCGGTGGGCCCCAAAGGCCCTCAAAAGGTGAACAAGTCAAGAGCCACTTTTCTCCCATGCAGCTTCGCCAGTTCTGATTTCCCTACATGCCTTCTTTCAAACTCTCTGAGCCACTGCCCAACACGGCGTGATGAGTGCCAGGCACCTCTCTTCTTCAAGATAACGGGAATCATCAGAGGAAAAGTGACTGCCCCGGGGCCCAGGCACAAAAGCCTCTGGAGGACACTGCCGTCTCCCTCCCTGCAAAGGTGAAGGCCTGAGACCCTTGAGAAAGGAGAATCAGATTGTGTCTCAAATACATCTCAGCCTCTTGGGGCCCGTTGTAGCCATATAAGGAGCTGGTCAAGAGCTATTTATCAGAAAGGTTCTTGAGGGCAAAGAGAACCTCCAGGGCACTTCAATTAGCTGAGCAGCCGTGGCTTAGCCCCGCGGGGCTGCGGCTGTCACCAGGAGGGGGATCAGTGGCACTGCTTCTGCAATTTCCTATGCAAGGGCCCCTTTCTCCCTCCTCAACTCCTTTGAGCATCGTTGCCCATATTTGCACATGGTCTTGGACTCCAGAAAATGTTAGCGTCTAAAAATAGCCAAGCTACAGGTAAGGAGGTGTTCTAATCACCTATTGTAATCAAAGTGTTAAATGAAATTGCCTAATGATCACTGGTCACCGCAGCCACAGACATGTCTTAAAGAGTCATTCAGGTGATTCACCTGCTTTTCCAAGATGACCCAAATAAGAACAGAGAATGTGAGTCATGACAGCTGCCCTGGGCCCTCATTCTCTGTCTTGCTCCACTGCCATTATATCCACTGACAGCCTCGCACCTGAGGGGCCCCACAGCAGCCGCCGCAACACTGACAAGCTCCGTTTGGGTCTCAGTAAGAGATGTTTTCACACCTGTAGATTTTTAGGACTGAGGCATCTTCAGAAATATCTCCGGATGTGTTTTAGTTCAGAAGGGTTTTACTGGATCCTTGAAAAGCACACTGGACTTTCAAAGACTAAGAGCTCCCACATTCCACAGCCGGTTTTCTGCTGCAGAAGGGGCTGAACCAAGCTTTGAGATATTAGTTTCAACTTTATCTCTCCAGGATGCTTCGTCCGTCTCTCCTGTGAAATATCTGAATCTTGATTTGATTCTCCCTGTCATGTGTAGGAAGCTTTTCCAGAAGATTTCTCTCTACTGATAGCATTGTGACAGCACTCAGAACTTCACAGTTTAATGTCTCTCTGTGTCCTCCTATCAGATGAGTAGCTTATTCATCCTTGAATTCCTAACACTTAGCACACTGGTGCATTGGTGCTGGTCAATAAATGCTGAGCAGAAGGAAGGAAGCAGGAGCGGGGCTGGGGGGTGGTTAGAGTTTCAGGAGTGTTTTCTTCCCAAACTGTATCATGTGAGAACTTAAATTCCCAGGGTTCGTGGCTGCGGCACTGGCACTCTTTGTACAATGTAATTTGGTAGCTGGAATTGAAATATTTTATTGGATATGTTCAGAGCCAATTTACAGTAGTCACTGGTAGAGTTGTCACCCTCTCCACATGCGACTTGCAAAGAGCAAGGCCAGCCTAAAGAAGGGTGTGTGGCTGGGACTCCTGAGAAATCCGAGATTCTCTGCTTGATCCCACATCACATCCGTAGCCCATGTCCTACTGTAAA